TGGAGCGGGGGGAGCGGGGAGCCTGGAGGACCACAGGGGCGGAGAGAGGGTGGTCTCAGAGGGACCGACCGACTGGCTGACAGGACCCCTCCATCCTGACTGGCCAAGGGCACGAACGCTCAAGCCTGTACTCCGAAGGCTGCGGCGAACCCTTGTCCACAGTGTCTTTCCCTTTTATTTATTTTTAAAAATTTTTATTATATTTTAAAACCTATTTTTAGTGATTTCAGAGAGGAAGGGAGAGAGAGAGAGACATCAATGAGAGAGAATCATTGACCGCTGCCTCCTGTGCGCCTCCCACTGGAGACCGAGCCCACAACCCGGGCCTGTGCCCTGACCGGGGTCCAGCCGTGACCTCCTGGCTCATAGGTTGATGCTCAGCCACGGAGCCACAGCAGCCGGGCGAGCAGGGAATGTTCTGTATCCGAATAGATTTCACCTTCAGTCATTGTTGTTGCTGCTTAAATGCCCTGAGTGACACTGGCCGTGCACGTGGGTAACACGGCTCATCCTGAAGAGCAGCTGATCTTGCTTAACCTTCGATTCCTCACAGGAGGAAACACCCCACAATTCGTCCCACAGCTGCTTCCTGCCAGAGGCCCTCTCTCCGAGGCTCATCGGTTCCAGCCTCCCTCCACGCCTGTGGGGTGACAGCACGACGGGCTCGCGGCCTGAAGACAAGCCCCCAAATGCGCTGCTTCTCACCCACGAGGGAAGGCGCCCCCACTCTGGCGTGTGTGTCCGGATGGATGCCGATGGCCGAGACCTGGCTGAACTGCTCGCTCACATCTTTCTAGCAAAACAGTGATTCCTCCAGGCCGCCTCCCGCACGGGGCGCAGGGACACTCAAAGGGCCGTGTGCATTCAGGGGGTTGTAGACGGAGCCCCTTGCTCCCCCCCCCCCGAAAAACTGGCTTCAGAGTGACGTTCCACTCAGTGAGGAAACAGCCCCCCAAAGGCTCCTCCTACATGTTCCCAGAAGAGGGGACCCACCTTGTCATTTTCTATCCTTATTGCCAGGCAGGGGGTTTGGGGGGCAAAGGGGGGTGCGCACAGGCGGTCGAGGTGGGGTGACGGGTGGAAGACGGAACGATAAGAGGTCAAGTTTCCAGTTTTATAGTTTAGTCCACAGACAGTCCACTGAGGAGGGGCAGGTGCTCCTCTAAGGACACACAGAGTATTTTACGCCCAATTGTAAGGTGTTTTTTTTTGAAGATTTTTTAAAATTGATTTTCACAGAGAAAGCAAGGGACGGGGGAGAGAGAGAAACATTGATGTGAGAGTGAAACACCCAGCTGCCTCCTGCACACCCTCTACTGGGATCGAATTAAGCCCACAACCCAGGCATGTGCCCCGCCCGGGAGTTTTAAGGTAGAAAAAGTACATAGTCACGTGTAGGAACTGGAAAATAACGCCAAGGAAATTAGCCAGAAGATGTTCTTGTTAAGACCTTTGGGGTAAAATAATAGAAACCTACAGGCTCAACCAGATACTGGAACGTGAAAGGAGTAGTGACTTCAAAATTTACTCGGTTACCTGTCTGGGATTGAAGACTCAAAACAGGCCTCTGACCTACGGGGACGTTTGCCTCAGTGATCAATCCACTCAGGCCTTGGAGACCTGGAGGGTGGAGCAGATTTCCCGAGCCCACTCCCCACCGTGCTCCCAGCCACGCTCCCCACCACTCTCCCCACCGCGCTCCCTGCCACGCCCCACGGTGCCCTTGCCCTCCTCAGCCTCGACGCTATGCCTCTTACCCATCGGGGTCCCCACGCCGTAGCCCTTGGAGTCGATGAGGCCCCCGATCTGCGTGAGGCTGCAGTTCCTCTGGGTCACATACTCGATGCTGGTCGACTCCATGAGCAGCGCGTAGTCGGCGGTGAGCACGCGCTGGATGCCGTCCTCGCTGCTCCTCACCAGGGCCGTCTGCTGCCTGCTGCCCATGAAGGCCCACATCTTCTCATAGGTGGAGATCCTAGACTTCTGCAGGGACAGGGAGGGGCTGTGAACATGGTCCCAAGGCCGTGCAGAGCCGGTGGTTCAAACAGTGCAGGGGAGACCTTCGCCCTCGGGAGGGAAACCACGTGCAGGTCCTGGGCCTGCGGGGGGGTCACTGAGAAGAACCCAGCTCCCTGCCGGCCCAGGTGGCATGCGCGGAGCGGCTGCTTGGTCATTGGTGCTTCTGTGGGTCTCAGTGAGGGAAGCGATGGGAAGGCTCATAATCTGACTAGAGGCCCGGTGCACGGGTGGGGTCCCTCGGCCTGGCTGGCGATCAGGCCAATTGGGGCCACGGGAGGTTGGCTGTGGGAGTGCACTGACCACCAGGGGGCCACTCCTGCATTGAGCGTCTGCACCCTGGTGGTCAGTGCGCGCCTGTGGGGTGACAGCACGACGGGCTCGCGGCCTGAAGACAAGCCCCCAAATGCGCTGCTTCTCACCCACGAGGGAAGGCGCCCCCACTCTGGCGTGTGTGTCCGGATGGATGCCGATGGCCGAGACCTGGCTGAACTGCTCGCTCACATCTTTCTAGCAAAACAGTGATTCCTCCAGGCCGCCTCCCGCACGGGGCGCAGGGACACTCAAAGGGCCGTGTGCATTCAGGGGGTTGTAGACGGAGCCCCTTGCTCCCCCCCCCCGAAAAACTGGCTTCAGAGTGACGTTCCACTCAGTGAGGAAACAGCCCCCCAAAGGCTCCTCCTACATGTTCCCAGAAGAGGGGACCCACCTTGTCATTTTCTATCCTTATTGCCAGGCAGGGGGTTTGGGGGGCAAAGGGGGGTGCGCACAGGCGGTCGAGGTGGGGTGACGGGTGGAAGACGGAACGATAAGAGGTCAAGTTTCCAGTTTTATAGTTTAGTCCACAGACAGTCCACTGAGGAGGGGCAGGTGCTCCTCTAAGGACACACAGAGTATTTTACGCCCAATTGTAAGGTGTTTTTTTTGAAGATTTTTTAAAATTGATTTTCACAGAGAAAGCAAGGGACGGGGGAGAGAGAGAAACATTGATGTGAGAGTGAAACACCCAGCTGCCTCCTGCACACCCTCTACTGGGATCGAATTAAGCCCACAACCCAGGCATGTGCCCCGCCCGGGAGTTTTAAGGTAGAAAAAGTACATAGTCACGTGTAGGAACTGGAAAATAACGCCAAGGAAATTAGCCAGAAGATGTTCTTGTTAAGACCTTTGGGGTAAAATAATAGAAACCTACAGGCTCAACCAGATACTGGAACGTGAAAGGAGTAGTGACTTCAAAATTTACTCGGTTACCTGTCTGGGATTGAAGACTCAAAACAGGCCTCTGACCTACGGGGACGTTTGCCTCAGTGATCAATCCACTCAGGCCTTGGAGACCTGGAGGGTGGAGCAGATTTCCCGAGCCCACTCCCCACCGTGCTCCCAGCCACGCTCCCCACCACTCTCCCCACCGCGCTCCCTGCCACGCCCCACGGTGCCCTTGCCCTCCTCAGCCTCGACGCTATGCCTCTTACCCATCGGGGTCCCCACGCCGTAGCCCTTGGAGTCGATGAGGCCCCCGATCTGCGTGAGGCTGCAGTTCCTCTGGGTCACATACTCGATGCTGGTCGACTCCATGAGCAGCGCGTAGTCGGCGGTGAGCACGCGCTGGATGCCGTCCTCGCTGCTCCTCACCAGGGCCGTCTGCTGCCTGCTGCCCATGAAGGCCCACATCTTCTCATAGGTGGAGATCCTAGACTTCTGCAGGGACAGGGAGGGGCTGTGAACATGGTCCCAAGGCCGTGCAGAGCCGGTGGTTCAAACAGTGCAGGGGAGACCTTCGCCCTCGGGAGGGAAACCACGTGCAGGTCCTGGGCCTGCGGGTGGGTCACTGAGAAGAACCCAGCTCCCTGCCGGCCCAGGTGGCATGCGCGGAGCGGCTGCTTGGTCATTGGTGCTTCTGTGGGTCTCAGTGAGGGAAGCGATGGGAAGGCTCATAATCTGACTAGAGGCCCGGTGCACGGGTGGGGTCCCTCGGCCTGGCTGGCGATCAGGCCAATTGGGGCCACGGGAGGTTGGCTGTGGGAGTGCACTGACCACCAGGGGGCAACTCCTGCATTGAGCGTCTGCACCCTGGTGGTCAGTGCGCATCACAGCGACCAATCAGTTGGTCCCTTAGGCTTTTATATATACAGATAGACAGGGCACCTGGGTTGATCTGAAAAGTGATCATATTATTTTAGATCTTAGAACACACACACTTCTGTGCAAGGGGTTATGTTTCTCATATGTGAATAGGGGGTGAGGTTTTTCTTAAGTTTCCTTTCAAGACCTGTGTGAAGTGATGGAGGAGGTGACTCAGCTGTGAATCCAGCCAGCAGAACCCATAGACAGGGTCAGGCCAACCCCCCAGGAGTCAAACCATCATGTCATCCACCTCATCTCCTCACCATCATCTCCTCACCATCATCTCATCGCCATCCTCTCATCCACCTCATCTCATCGCCATCATCTCCTCACCATCATCTCCTCACCATCATCTCATCGCCATCCTCTCATCCACCATCATCTCATCGCCATCATCTCCTCACCATCATCTCCTCACCATCATCTCATCGCCATCCTCTCATCCACCTCATCTCATCGCCATCATCTCCTCACCATCATCTCCTCACCATCATCTCATCGCCATCCTCTCATCCACCTCATCTCATCGCCATCATCTCCTCACCATCATCTCCTCACCATCATCTCATCGCCATCCTCTCATCCACCTCATCTCATCGCCATCATCTCCTCACCATCATCTCCTCACCATCATCTCATCGCCATCCTCTCATCCACCTCATCTCATCGCCATCATCTCATCACCATCATCTCATCCACCTCATCTCATCCACCTCATCTCCTCACCATGATCTCCTCACCATGATCTCCTCACCATCATCTCATCGCCATCATCTCATCACCATCATCTCCTCACCCCATTCTCATCCACCTCATCTCCTCACCATCATCTCGTCACCATCATCTCGTCACCATCATCTCCTCACCATCATCTCATTGCCGATGACTAAGGACAATAGCTGACGTCCATGGACCCCCAGCCTGCACGTAGCTGCATCCCATCCCCAGCCTCCCCCAGCCCCGTCCCCTTACAGGCCTGCCCCCTGCACCTGCTGGAAGGCAGGGGTTGATGCTGTAAGCGCCTGTCTTCTTGGTGGGCGGGCCTTCTCAGTAAACGCCTGATAGGATGCCACCTGCCTTTGTGGTTGGACAGAGTGACCAGTGGCTCGCATACCTGGGGTCTCCCGGTAACAGAAGGAAGACCTTGGCATCAGTGAGCGGGTAGCTGATGAGCTGTGGGCATTACAGCGAGTCCTCGAGGCCCTGGGCTCACCCAGGATGGGACTCACCGACCCCCCACCCCTCAGCTGTCCCCTTCAGCAGCCTCACGGACGTCACACTTCCTGGCTCATCCCTGCCCCGCGGGCCTATGCTGGGAGCGGCCGGCACAAGTCACAGGCCTCCTCCGCTCCGTTTCTGAAAGACCTGCATTCACGCTCATCTTTTCTAGAAAACGCCGAATACAAATGTTTTTTTGCAAATTAAAATTCAGGTCAGAAAACTCTTACACGCGTGTTTATGTGCCTTTTCCAGACACATTCAGTTTTAACGGAACCAGATTTTAGGTGATGAAGACGGAGCATTTTATTTCGAAGTGCTCTACGCTTTTGCCTTTCCCTCGTTCTTCGTTTTTGGGGACAGATTTAATAATCAGCCACATGGGATGTGTTACATACACACCTGCACATTCCTCTGTCTACTGTCTTCTCTCCTTGTTAAAATATACTGCCTACATTTCCGTATTGCTTAGCTGTGGACTCTCTATTCTTTTGAATGGCGAACTGTGACTACCATGTTACAGTTGACTGTAATTTCCATAGTGTCCTCCCCACCGCATCTGTCTTCCTTTGTATCAACACTCCCTCCACTTCTTTGCGAGATGAGATTTGATGGGAGTCAGTGGTAGTTCCACGCTGACTCCACTGTCACCCTCAAACCGGGGCCCACACCCCAGCCAGCGCCTCGGCGGGCACAGGCGACGAGCTCAGGAGGGCGATCGGGTGAGAACACGGCGTGGGGCCCGAGGGGGGGAACGGCTGTGGAGCCCACTCCGCGTGGCCGCGTCCATGCTTCTTCCCGGGCTCTCTGAGCTCCTGCCTCTAGTTCAGACTGAGGTTGACGCTGTCGGCGGCTTCACGAGTCAGGAGAGGACGGTGGGTCCGTCCAGAGAGCCTGGGGGAAGGTCTTGTGAGACAAACGACACTTCAGTAAACAGTCCCCACGGACACCGCGCTTCACGGGCGCCATTCGCTCATGACGGCCCTGAGTCCTCCACCCTCAGATGCTGCAAATCAATTCCGTGGCCAGGACAGCAGGGCCCGTGGGTCAGGCCGCTTCCTGCCGTGCGACTCGGGTGGGACCCTCCAATGCTGCTGAAATGCCAGCTGAGCGGCCGTGCGAGGGGGGTGGGGGTGGGGGCGGCTGTCCTGGGCAAAGCCGGGCACATCATTCTCCGCCAGGAAACTGCCTTCAGGGGAAATCGTTGTCTTAGAAGCATGAAACGCGGACGCTGCCAAAGACTTGAGAAATGGGCTCATTGAAACGGCCGCGTTTACACGTTTACAGAGGATGGGAAGTTCTCGACAGGAGGCGGGGACGTCAGGAAGGCGGCGGACTCCTTAGCGGAGACCGAGAAGGAAGTGCGGACAGCGTCGCTCTCTCCTCAGCGGTGACTGTGCCACAGGCCCCGTGGTGGCAGGTGCCCGGCACCAGGTGCGACGGGTAAACCATCTGTGAATTCGGGAGAGGGAGGCGGTCTCGGGTCGGAAAGAACCTCCATTTCAGGGGCACGTCCCTCGAATGCTTCGCTCAGATCCACCCCCTTTTCTTCACCCAGGTCGTGGGGTCTGCACGGAAGCCGTGTGATCCTGTTGGTTGCAGCGTGAATTACTACACCAGTCACTTCAATTGCCTGAAGACAATATCGATCCAGGAACATCTGTGTGTGCTGGTCATGTCTCCTCAGCCGCCCACTAACACACACACTGGGAATTTATCGTATTGACCTTTGTCATCCTATCAAAAGTGATCTAATAAATGGGGTAGATATATCCATATAAACAATAAAATACCAAAATCACACTGTAAAATCTCCAACATGCTTTCACTTTAAGTAAATCCTGATTTAAGAAAACCTTAAAAATCAACCAAACACCTGGCTGGTGTGCTCAGTGGTTGAGTGTCAATGTATGAACCAGGAGGTCACGGTTTGATCCCCGGTCAGGGCACAGGCCCGGGTTGCGGGCTCGATCCCCAGTGTGGGGCGTGCAGGAGGCAGCCGATCCATGATTCTCTCTCATCATTGATGTTTCTCTCTCTATCTCTCCCTCTCCCTTCCTCTCTGAAATCAATAAAAACATATTAAAAAATAAAAAACATCCACCAAAGACATGGAGATCAGCTATGTAGAAATCCAAACTCATAAAAATAGATCAGGAATGAGTAACTGCCTTAAAAACAACCATTTCCTCTAACACATGATTAAACATGTTATCTCACTGAGGAAATCTCGTAATGTTTCCAAAACAGGATTTACTGCATAAAATCCACTTGCCAGGGAGGGCAGCCAGCGGAGACACGGTGTCTGCCAGGAGGCCCCCGTCTTTGTCTGTAAGGTACCCACTGCGTCCGACGGAGCCTGGTCTCAGGTTGATGGACAGTAATGCCAGCGGCCGATCTCCCAAGGCTGGAGACAGTCCCGCGTTCCCTTTAAAACCCCTCAGCGGACGTAGGCCCCTTGGTGGACATTTTTCACGGGTTTCTTCTGTGTAGAGTTGGAGATTGGTCCATTACGGCAACGCACTCAGCTTTGAAAAAGGTTAACTCAAACTGACCTCATGGATTTCCTCCCAAACACACACATTTTTAATCCCCAGGGTTCCCCTTTCAGACACGGAGGGTGACATTAGGAGGGTGACATTAGGAGGGTGACATTAGGAGGGTGACATTAGGAGGGTGGCATTAGGAGGGTGACATTAGGAGGGTGGTGTTAGGAGGGTGGCGTTAGGAGGGTGGCATTAGGAGGGTGGCATTAGGAGGGTGATGTTAGGAGGGTGACATTGGGAGGGTGACGTTGGGAGGGTGGCGTTAGCGGGGCCTTTGAAACATGAGCTCACAGGTCTGCCGTGAAGACTGCCTCGCACCCAGACACCGAGAAACGCCCCCAGTCGTGCTCCCTGGAATAGCTGCTTCTGTCGGAAGCGCCCCAACCCCGCGCCCGCTCACTGCTCCGGCCCAGGGGGCAGGGCTCAGCCCTATGAAGGGGTTGATGGCACCTCACCCACCCCCCCTCCTCTGGGAGGAGTGACAGAGGTCGGGAGCCCGTGCCCCTCAGCTGCCAAAGTCCGCCCCCCGCCTCCCCCGAGAGGCAGAAGGGACAAGTCTGTTAGGAATCTTTTTAAATCCTCACCTGGGGATGTTTTCCCACTGAGTTTTAGAGAGAGTGGAAGGGAGAGGGAGGGACAGAGAGAGAGAGAAACATCGATGTGAGAGGGACACACTGATTGGTTGTCCCACATGCACCCCAACCAGGACCGGGCGCCTGCAACCGAGGTACCTGCCCATGACCAGAATCGCACGGGGACCCTTCAGTCCGCAGGCCGGCGTGCTATCCACTAAGCCACACCAGCCAGGGCTTTTTTTCTTAAAAATTTTTTTTTTATTGATTGATTTCAGAGAGGAAGGGAGAGAGGAAGGGAAGAGGGGGGAGAGAGAAAGAGAGAGAGAGAGAGAGAGAGAGAGAGAAGAGAAACATCCATGATGAGAGAGAATCATTGATCAGCTGCCTCCTGCATGCCCCACAATGGGGATCAAGCCCGTAACCCGGGCCTGTGCCCTGACCGGGAATCGAACCCTGACCTCCTGGTTCCTAGCATCGACCTATGAACCAGGAGTACAAACTGACTGCTCTTCATGTTTTCTAAGGTGCTGTGGTGGCCCGGCCGGCGTGGCTCAGTGGTTGAGCATCGACCTATGAACCAGGAGGTCACGGTTCGATTCCCGGCCAGGGCACAGGCCTGGGTTGAGGGCTCGATCCCCAGTAGGGGGCCTGCAGGAGGCAGCCGATCAATGATTCTCTCTCATCATGGATGTTTCTCTCTCTCCCTCTCCCTTCCTTTCTTTCTAAAAATCAATAAATGCATATTAAAAAAATAAAGAGTCCGATAATTAATTAAAGGTGTGACGCGGAGGAAGCGGGGGCCCTGGTGTTGGGAGAACTTCCTTTAACGTTGAAATGCCCTCCCCTCGTCCTTCCTGCTGGTTCGCGGTGACCGTCCCCCTCTGACCCAACAGCTGTCGGATCAGCCACAGCATCAGGACCTGAGGGTGTCAGGCTCAAGGGGCGTCACCCCTGGGCCACACGGCCTTCGTCCAGCTTGTCTTTGTGGACGAGGTCGGCCGGGACCGGCTGCCCCTCCACAGCCCGTGGGCGCGCATCATCCCGGTTCTCGTGTGTGAGCGCGGCCCCTGGGGAC